GAAGGAAGGAAGGAAGGAAGGAAGGAAGGAAGGAAGGAAGGAAGGAAGGAAAGAAAGAAAGAAGGGAGGGAGGGAAAGGAAAGGAAGGAAGGATTGGGACTGCCCCTAGAGAACCCTGACAATGTGCCCCTGGACACTGTGAGCTTGAAAAGGGCTCCAGATAAAGAAAATTTTGGCCAGATTTGCAAGCCACTGTTCCCAGACCAGCCTGGCTGAGCTCTGAGCCCTGACTTCTCAACCCTTGCATGTGCCACTGGCCCTGGTGGCCATACACAAGCTGACATCTGGGCTCTCGACTGATTCTAGGTTCATCTGTGTAATCTCCACACAGACCCATGTCCTTTGAAGTTCCTCTTACTGCACTGACATGAGGCACTTGGTGTTTCATAAAAGCTGTATTAATCTGCAGCCACTTTCCTTCCAGATCTAGAAAGTGCCCCTGTGGTGTTTGCTGCCCATCTAGCACAGAGGCCACCCCATCCTCCTAGGTCCCAAGTCCTGCTGGGTGGAGGTGGTAACTTACCTTCAGGCACAAACATGTTGATGATGACCATGAGCCCAGCCAGGATGAGGAAAGAGGCCACTGTGGCCCGGCGGCCCACGTAAATCATGGTGGTAGTGGCCACGAGCATGGCCGGGATGTCGATGATCCCAAACAGAGCCTGTACCAAGTGGATGCTGAGCCCAAACTTTTGCAGGTCCATGGCCAGGCCGTAATAGGCCACGGAGTTGGAGAACCTGGGAAAGGCGGCAGAATGGTCTTATTTGATTCCACGGATCACTGTCCCCTCCTGGGCCTAGGGCAGGGGACAAAGGATGCAGAGCACACATCTCCCCACCTTGGGGAGTTAAGATTCCCTGCCCTTCAGCAACATTCCTTTCCAGTCTCCTAAACCTCTGACTTTGGCCTCAAGAGCTCGGGCTTCTCTCTCCACATTTCTTTCCAACTACCCACTCCCGTGAGGCCAGTCTGTGGGCTGTGGCATGTGTTTGACTTTTCTCTGTTTGTAGCACATCAGCACTGAAGTTAAAGTGGTGCTAAAAAGTAAACACACAGGGCCAGGGAGATAGTTCAGCAGCACAGTGCCTGCCTGGCAAGCTTGAGGTTGTGAGTTTGATTCCTGTTACCAAAAATAAAATAAAATTTAAAAAATGTAGAAACACAATGGGACCTCAGTTCACAAACTTAATTCTTTCCATAATTCTGGTCACAAACCAAATTGGGGACAAAGCAAATCAAATTCAGTGGTTAGATTCAGTATTGACTGTGTGGGGCAATTTGATGTGGTTCATGACCAGTTTGGTTTGTGATCAGAACTGTGGAGAGAATTAAGTTCATGAACTGAGATATTACTGTGGAACAAAATGTAGGAAAACAAAACAAAACAAGAAAAGGGCTGGTGCTCTCGGGTCAAGATGGCGGGCCACCCGGCTGTTGCAGCATCAAGCCGGTGGCTGGAAGGTATTCGGAAGTGGTATTACAATGCTGCAGGGTTCAATAAGCTGGGCTTAATGCGAGATGATTCAATATATGAAGATGAAGATGTAAAAGAAGCCATAAGAAGGCTTCCAGAAAACCTTTATAATGACAGGATGTTTCGCATTAAGAGAGCCCTGGACCTGAGCATGAAGCATCAGATCTTGCCTAAAGAGCAGTGGACAAAATATGAGGAGGATAAGTTCTACCTTGAGCCATATCTCAAAGAGGTTATTCGGGAAAGAAAAGAAAGAGAAGAATGGGCAAAGAAGTAATCACTTAATGAAGTCTGTGAAATGCAACTGTCTTCAAAATATTTTTATGAACTTGGTTGACCCTGAAACAGTTCAAAAGTTATCTGGTTTGCGGATACCATACCTTAAATAAATGCCTGTTTTATTCAAAAAAAAAAAAAAAAAAAAAAGAAAAAAGAAAGAAAAGGGCTGGGGATGTAGCTCAGCAGCGCAACACTTGTCTGGCAAGTGCAAAGCCCTGAGCTCATTTCTAGTACAAAAAAAATAAATAAATAAATAAAAAATAAAAGAGGAGGAGGAGGAGAAGGAGAAGAAGAAGAGGAAGGTAAATTAAAGGATACAGCATACATAAGACTGTAGGTTTTATTCCCAGCACCACAAAAAATAAAATAAAGTAAAAAAATCTGTCTTATAAAAGCTCCAAACAATGTACATAGAGACACCAGCCCTTCAGGAGATGGAGCTTAATTTCTGTCCTTTTTATATAGGAAGGACTCACTCTCAAGTAATAGAGTATGGAAAGAGGACGTTAATAATTTTACAGTGAGGATACATGGCGGATGTCACCTTAAGCAAGCAATCAAGTTTAATATACTCAGGAACAAGCCAGGTATGGAGGCCCGCACCTGTAATTCCAGGACTTGGGAGGCTGAGGCAGGAGGATCACCTGAATTTAAGGCCAGCCTGGGCTACATAGTGAGTTCAAGGCTAGCCTGAACTCTATAGGGAGACCCTGCCTCAAAAAACCAACAATAGGGTCTGGCCAGATAGCTCAGTGGACTAAAGTGGCTGCTGAGGCAGAGTGCAGAGGCCAGGGTTGGACCCCTGGCATGCCATACTGACCCCCCTGTGGGGCACACTGAGATGGTGATTGAGACTGGGTGTGGTGGTGCATGCCTGTAATCCCAGCGCTTGGGAGGCTGAAAACAGGAGGATCACTATGAGTCCAATCTACATAGTGAGACACTGTAGACCCAGTACTAAATAAAAAAAACAAAAACAAAAAAACCCCAACAACACAATCAGGAATGTGTCACAATGACATCATGAATGTCCTGATATGACAAAGAGAAGGCTGCAGCACCTCTGTGGGACTTTGGCCCCAAATCCATAACCCCAGGCTGATTGTGGAAACACCCGCAGACTGTCCCAGAAGTAGGGCCTCCTGCCAAATCCCTGAGCAATACTCTTCAAAAACTCCCTAGTTTAATCAGCAGGAAATGACCAGTGCCAAATTCTTACTTTGGACAAACACACTGTGATAATTTAAGATGATAATATGAGTGAAAGCTGGGCAGTGAATGTGTAGGAACTCTTTGTGTTATGTTTATAATTTTTCTATGAGCAAACATTTATTACCAAATAAGAATTTTTTTAAAAGGAGAAACCAGGGGCTGGGGAGATGGCTCAGTGGAATAAGTGCTTCACTGGCAAGTGCAAAGACCTGAGTTCAATCCCCAGGTCCGCTAAATAAATAAATAAATAAGAGAAACCATAAAATAGAAGATATTTGCAAAAACCAATACCCAAAAAACTATCTAGAAGATATATGTAATACTACGAGACAATAAAGAAAAATATAACCTAGAAGAAAAATTTGGCAGAAATCTAAGGGTAAGTATTTTATAAAACGAGACATTCAAAATGCTGCTAAGGATATGAAACCATTTCTACATGCATTATTCACATTTTGCAGAAAAATGTGAATTAAAATTATAGTGCGCTATCGCTACATGCTCACAACAGTGGCTGAAGTGAAAGTGACCTACAGGACCCAGTGAGGCTGGGCCCAAGAGACAGCTACAGCGCTTGCGCTGGCAAGCTCTCTGCCGACGGTAGGGCACGTTGGTACAACCACTTTGGAAAGTGGCATGCTTCCATTACAGAGAAACCCAGCCATACCTTAGGAGCCAGTGATTTCAATCCTCCATGTAGAGCTGACAGATATGCACATGTATTTTCACCAAAAGAAATGTACAAGAAGCCCAGATGTGGTAGCGCACACCTGTATTCCCAGTACTCGGAAGGCTGAAGCAGGAGGATCATTGCGAGTTTGAGACCAGCCTGGGCTACAAAGTGAGCTCAAGGCCAGCCTGAACTGGATAACAAAACTGCCTCAAAAAGGTGTAAGAGGGGCCGGGGAGATGGCTCAGTGGAATAAGCGCTTCCCTGGCAAGCACAAGGGTCTGAGTTCAATCCCTGGTTCCACCAAAAAAAAAAAGGTGTAAGAAAGAAAGGAGAGACAAAAGCACTTAGTGAGACCTTGTCTTAAACGAAATATAATAATAAATATAATAATAATAATAATAATAATAATAATAATACAAGAATGCTCAGAGCAATACTATTCTAATAGCCAAAACTGGGAAGATCACAGATTTCTGTCAACAGTAAAAAGGGTGAAGTTTTAAAAAATAGTTTCCTGTTGTTGTAACAGATTGCCACAAATTAGCCGGGCATGGTGGCACATGCTTGTAATATGAGCATTCAGGAGGCCGAGGCAAGAGGATTACTGCAATTTTGAGGCCAGCGTAGGTTACATAGAGAATTTAAGGCCAACCTGCACTGCACAGCCTGTCTCAAAAAACGAAAGAACAAAACCAAACAAATAACAGCAGCAACAATAACTGCAAACACCTGGATTTTTGGCAGGGTGTTAATTCTGCTGTGTGCATGCTGAACCAAACCATGGCAGGCTGGGGTAGCTGCTAGCAGAGTAGGGGTTGTAGACCCCAGTGAACTGGCTCCCACGAGCCAGGTGCTCTATCTTCTGGCAGGGTCACTGATTGTTTCCATGTTACTTGTTATCACAAATGAATCTAACTCTTTCCAGTCAGATCCAAGAAAAATTGTTTTCCAATGGCAGCATTTGCAAAACAAGACTGTTCTTCCCATTGAAAAGAGAAAGATAA